AAAAAAAAAAAAAAAAAAAAAAAAAAAAAAAAAAAAAAAAAAAAAAAAAAAAAAAACGCTTAACGCTCAACGCTCCTTGGTGTCTCAGTTCTACCAAAAACCAAAACAAAAACGCTTTTTGAAACGCTGACGAAGAAGATAATACAATTGCAAATCCATATACATTCACAGAACAACACGACCTCTGAACCAACTTCCATGGACTCTTGCTCTCAGATCTTGCTCCTAACCTAGCCGATTTCCAGGTTCAAATTCCTTCTCCTTTCATCCTATTTCATTCCTCTCTTTTTTTGTCGTTTTTTCTTACCTTGATATCATCTATCCCCCATTCTTGCCGCCGTTTTACCTCCTTCGATTCTATCGTCTGTTGTTTCTGGTTGCCGTAATTCTGCTCTGCTGATGTACTGGTTTCGGATCCTTATCAGTTGTTTCCTTTCCTCTGCATTTTCTCTGCTCTGAAGTGTCTGGATTGAGTCGGTTTCTTTTTTTCTGCTGGATTTCTGCGATTCTGGATTTAGCTTCGTCTAACGTTGTTATTCTAATTGCTCTTGTGATTCTTGTTTGTGTTGGATGAATTTCAATGTCAGAGGTTTTGTTGTAAGGATAAGGAGTGGGAAGCTGCTGTGGTGCTGGTGAGGGATATGACGGTCTGACGTAGAGAACGGCGAGATGGACGATAGAGGTGGTGGATCGTTTGTTGCTGTGAGGAGGATTTCTCAAGGACTGGAGCGAGGAAATACTTGCCATTCGTCTTCAGGTGAATATTATCTTGAATTTCGGCATCTCTGTCTCCCACTACTTCTTTACATTAAAATTAGAATTTTTCGTCTTCGCTTTTCTTTCGCTGAAAAGTTCTCTCTCTCTCTCTCTTTCCCTTTTGCTTTCTTTTCTTTATCTTATTCTTAATTTACGGTTTACTTTTTGGTTTAGAAGTTTAGATCTGTGACTTGAAGTTGAGTGATGTGCGCTAAGCTCTGCTTATACTGAGGCTCTTACTGGCTTCATGCTTGCTGAGATTCAAATCTGTATTGGTGGGTCTACTCAGCGGGATTTTTTTAATTTATTTTTTTTAATTTTTCCAGCTCCTCATCGACTGTTCCTTCATTGTTTATGTTGTATTTGTGAATCAAGTACCGGAAGTTCGTGATTTTGATATTCAGATTAGTTTCGGATTCATTTTCCAGTTTTTTAAAAGAATTATTGCATTGTACGTTGTCCATTGAAATTTGGGGAAGATATAGATCTTTCCGGCAGAAGTCATGAAACTCATTAATTAACCACGTTTTTTTCTGATTAGATTATTATTTTCTCCTATGTACCGTTGATTGTTGGATGAACGTGATGGCAGGACGCAAGCCTGCCTTAGTTGCTTGACATAACTCAAACACCTTTTGTGGCGTTTTATTTTTCTTCGTTGATGGCGTTATCTCTACTGCATATTCTAATCCTGTTCTATACAGAAAATATACTATTTATTTTTATTTTTTTTACTGTGCCATTAATTCTTGTTTTTGCTCGTGGAGAAATATTCTGCAATTACAATCAGTGTTTTGGAATGACGCAAGATCTCTCCTCATTTTTACTCAGTACTTACCCCTGTTTTTTACTTGACTGACCCAAATATAGATTATTCGCAAGTAACTATATTTCAAGTTCAAATCATGAGTTAGGAAAAACGAATTGTAACAATCAAATCGACTTTGTAGCATTAGTGCTCTCAATATGTGTTATGTGCTGTGAATTATTTTTCAAACTTGTGCTGTTTCTTGCATAAACAGCTCCCTCCATGGCTCCACCTTATCCTGTGTTAGTAGGACAATGTTCTGTACTTTTCTCTTATTTCCATTTTCAAATTTGTTTTGCTGTGTTAGAGTGACATTTTCCTTAGCATTATCTAATATCTCTGCCATTTTAGAACCCTCTTATTCAGTTATCAGAAACTTGTACTGGTTTCCCTTTCATAAATTATGGCTTTTCGTGGGACTTCTGAAAGACATACCTTTACCATATATTCAAGCTCGGGAAACCATGAATAAGTTGGATAGCAACTAGCAAGGAAATTAAGTTTGATAGCATATACATGAACTGTTGCGCGTGTTTTGTTTTTTAACATATACATTTATATAGCTGTCTACAGGATTAGAGGACTTTGTAACTGATAGTTGAAAACTTGAATTTTCGTTATTGATCTGCTTTTGTTTTATTTCAGCTGAGGTTGTGGCAGGATCAGCTGCATGGCTTGGCCGGGGTCTTTCTTGTGTTTGTGCACAGAGAAGAGAAAGTGATGCGCGCTCATCATTTGACTTAACCTCTGCACAGGTAACTTTATGCATTTGGTGACTGTTAACTTCCATTTTCGTTGAATGGGGAGGAGTCTTATTTTAACTATTATTTTGATTTGACGATGTGTTTGGAGGCTGGAGAGTTAGTGGTTTATTTTGCTCTTTGCTTTTTTCTTAAGCTTACACCACTTAGATGGACTGTGAAGGTAGCAATGTGTATTGTAGAAAGAAAAGAAAAGGATTATCTCGTTTCTTTGTTTTTTGGGCGTCTTCTTTTTAAAAAAACATATTCTCATAATTGTCATCCACTGTTAAGAATTCAAATGATAGTCCTTTATGCTCTTGTTCTTTGTGCTGCTGCATATTCTTTTGTGAGTGGTTTGTGATTTAACAAAAGAGCTTCGGTGTCTCTCAAAACTGTGTTTAAGGTAATGGGTTATTCTTTCATTGTCTGCCATGATGAGGATGGAGATCGATTATAACTTTTAGTGTGGGCTTATGCTTATTTGAATTGAATTGTAGTTTCAGCCTAGTGTAAGTCTAGCTTTACACTGTGTACTTATCTTTCATGAATGATGTGTAAAATATTCCAAGTCTCCTTGCTGTAGTAAGCTATTCAATTTGAATTCTTTTAGTGAGAGAGCACTGAAAATGGCATTAAGTCTTTGTTGGTCCACTTGTGTTCCTTTTTTTCCTTTTTAATTCGTTTACTAGTCACGAGGATTCCATTTTTCTAAAACATCCTCTATACTCTCTCATCCAGTAATTTTAAGAGTGCTTTATTGTTGCATTTTAGTAGACATGGTTGAGACAAAGCCGGATGGATATGCAGTTTAAGAGTGCTAGGGTTTTCTACTATGTTCTTAATATTTTCGTACTTAATGGATGTCGAATAGCCAAGTTCCAATACCCATATTTATAGAAGAGGGCAATAAAATTTCTCTCACATGACTAAGTAAATTTTGCTTGTTCATAGTTGGAATACACACAAACAAGTTCTGAAATTTCATTTCATACGAAGTGTTCATTGCCTTCATCTGCACCTGTTTAAACTTAATTTTTCTCCTTCCAAATAATTTTCGCGCATTCAAAAGTAAATCCTTGAGGTGCAAACAATTTATGTGCAGTGCACTCTGATAATTGATTTTATTGGTTTAATTTAACTTTGAATTTAGTTCTTTGATTGGTCTTTGACACTCCTGCAGCATTCCTTTGTAGTTTTCATATCTCTAGAGGAACAATACACAAACTACTTTTGTTAACTGTTTTAAGATAGAATCAGTATCTCAAAATCACAGCACATGTTGGTTCTTTTATTAGGAGGAATGCTTGCTGAGACTGCAGAACCGCATAGATATTGCTTATGATAGTTCAATCCTTGAGCACCAGGTTTGTTTTCTGCGCAACGTTTTTGTCCTGTACAATGTAAAATATAGAGATTCTGCGTGTCTGGTGGAGGGAGAACCTGAGATGATTATTGTTTAGTTTTTCTCCTTTATGAAGATTTGGACTCTTGATAGGAGGCTCTAAGGGCTCTATGGAATGTGGCCTTCCCGGAGGAAGAACTTCGTGGTTTGATATCTGAGCAGTGGAAGGAAATGGGCTGGCAAGGAAAGGATCCATCGACAGATTTTAGGTAACTAAGAATTACGCTGTAGCTCATACTTGACATGAATAGCTCTTATGTTTTCTTGTTGCAGTTATTCCTGTGTTAATTCTTATTTATTGTGTTTTATCTCTAGGGGTGGTGGTTTTATTTCATTGGAGAACTTGTTATTCTTTGCCAGAAATTTTCCGGTATGCAACTTTTTGACACCTTGCTTTTCAACTCCTCGGAGTTTTGACTTAGTTTGCTTTCGGATAAAAGGAACCTAAAGTTATTAAATGAAATTGGATATACTGATTTTCACAGACAAACCTAGAAATTTACTGATGAGTNTGCCTAATTAGAGTTGGGAGGACTAATGAGAAAAAAAAAAAAAAAAAAAAAAAAAAAGAAAAAAAGAAAAGAAAGAAGAAGAAGAATCAAGCAAGTAAACAAACAAACAAACTAAAAAGTAAAAAATATTACTGTGGTACAGTTTCAGCTTCGACCATCCATATGCGCTTACGGTTATCGTCTTGTAACCCTAAAGTTTTTGGAATGCATTACAGAAGTCATTCCAGGATCTTCTTCGAAAGCAGGAAGGAGATCGGTCTCTATGGGAATACCCATTTGCTGTAGCTGGGGTGAACATCACATTTATGCTTATTCAAATGCTTGATCTTGAAGCAGGTTTGCTCTCTCTATGAATCAATATATTCATTGGAAATTTAATGGATAGTTGCCACATTTAATTCGAAAACTGCCTCTTTGACGTCAAATTAACTTTTGTGCAAGAATGTACCAAATTTGATTCACAGTGTTTGTATGTGCTCGCGTGTGTTTTTTTTTTTTTTTTTTTTTGGGTGTGGAGGGAGGCAAATGCATGCTTTACAGTATTTCGTGATATTTCTGATGCCGTGACCAATGGTTTTTTTTTTCCTTTCTCACTTACTAATGGCATGAAATTATATTTGCAGTTAAGCCACGGACACTTGTGGGAGCAACTTTCTTGAAGTTTCTTGCAGGTAATTTGCAACCAATTTGTTGAGTATTTGCACGAAGTGAAAGCCATATTTGCCGAGTGAAATGCTTTTACTGCTCGTAGTTTCTCAATGTCACGAATATGTGTAGCTATTGATTATGCGATATCTTCTTAGATGATTTCATAATATATTGATGGATAATTATCCATGCGAAACAAGCATCTCTTTTTTAAATCAACTAATCCAGGCATTTCTTTTTTCCTGACAGAAAATGATTCGGCATTTGACATACTCTATTGTATCACGTTCAAACTAATGGATCATGAATGGCTTGCCATGCGTGCATCATATATGGACTTCAATGTATGTAGTTCTGAACTTGAATTTTCCTTGAAATTGTCAAATTTATTCTTGGCCTGCTGATTGGTATATGCGTTGTTCCCGGTTTTACGTCTTATATTCGATAAATATCCTCTCAAACTTTAGGTTACATTTCTTCAAATCAAATCAAACCAAACTGACTTGTGATACATTCAACTTGTGCCACTCCGGAATCTTGATCCTTGACACCTTCTTTTTGAGAAGTGAATGCACATTCATGGGTGTTTCCTGTCCCTATGTTATGGCCCAAGAAGCATAGAAATTAGATGGTTTAATTTGAAATTTCAGCATACTCGATGGGATGATGAAGTTGTTGAGGATTGTTGGGAGGGAGTCTTATGTTGGCTAATTTAGGGAATGATCATGGGTTCATAAGTAAGGAATACATTTCCATTGTTATGAGGCCTTTTGGGGAAGCCCAAAACAAAGTCACGAGAGCTTATGCTCAAAATGGACAATATCATACCATTGTAGAGAGTTGTGATTCCGAACCGAAGCTACATTAAATGGTTCAAGTTTATTATATATGTCCTAAAAGTTAGACATTTGAATTTCCACTCTTAGCTGATACTTCATTTTTTTTTTGTTACTCTCTTTATAGACGGTAATGAAAGCAACACGACGACAACTAGAAAAAGAGCTCCTAGCCGAGGACATTTCAAGACTAGAAGAACTACCCTCATACGGCCTTCTCAATCAATAGTGTTTGTTTGCGGACCAAACATCTCATTTTCTAATGGAAACAGCTTGTGGGAAAGGAAAAGTTACTACGGTATCGCTTCCATAGCTTTTAACTAGTTAGTGTTTCTTTTTTTTTGTACATGATTATTCTGCTCGTCCCATTTTCAAGTGGCTTGCCCTTTTGCTCCTTTGGCTAGTAGTGTATCCATCCATTCCCACTTCCTTTCTTCCTTCCACCTTTATTGTAGTTTTCCCTCTCTTTTTTTTTTTTGTCTTTGTCTTTGTTTCTTCTCGGAATTTGAGGTTGAGACCTGTTTGCAATTAAGTTTGATGGATGAGCTTTTTTTTTTTTTTTTTTTTTTTTTTTTTTTTTTTTTTTTTTTTTTTTTTTT